ACTTTTCACCGCTGTCCTTTCGCCATGATTAGTCGTCCCCGGGCCCAAAAGGCAGCAGGTGTCCCGGCAAGTTTCCGGTGATATAGCACTTTGTCCACTTGACGGAGTTTAGTAACGTTTCTGAACAGCTTTTCCTGTACACTAAGGAAAACTAAAAAAAGAGTACTAACATATAGATATAAATAACTTCGATAAAAAAAAAATACCACGCATTGTTCGATACATTTTTAGTGCAATAAAATTTTAATAAGTTGAATTTTTCCATTTGTCGAAAAACAACTTAAAAATGTATATATTTAAAGTATAGTTTTCCCGCTTCATATTCTTTTCGCTGAAGTGCATCCGACATTCAGCTGATTTTCCTTAAACTCAATTGACAGCTGGCGAAGTTTTCGGGCAGTCAATTTGCCATGTCGAAACGGAGAACGAATCCCGCTCGAGCGGCGACAACTGGCAATTGAGCAGGTCCCCCAACTGGCTAACCCAATTTTGGCCATTCATTATGCAAAGGCTGCTACTGTTGTCCGCATAAATTCGCCCGAGACCGAGACCAGCATAAACAAGTCAAGTGCAAGAACAGGGTCACTAGTTTTTGGTCAGAGCAGAATTATGGCCATTTGGTAATTGTACAATCGTATGCAGCAGAAACAAGTGCAATGACAACTGTTTCTCGGGGCTGCAACATGGTTTTGTGGCCCCCTTTCTTCGACCCGCTGTCATCAGCAAAGGGAGAAATGTTTCTTATTCTCACTTTCCTTCTGCTGGCCACAAAAACCGCAACAAGGCCCCGAAGAAAACTCGTTTGCTTCTTGTCGCCATCATCGTTGCGACACAAAATGTTATTAAGGTCGGCCCGTCGCCATTTTGTATTCACTTTCGCATTTCAATTTCTTAAAGAAAAAGCGAAGGGGGATTTTTCCCTTACGATTTATCATCCACCTGGGTCCTATATATACTTTCCTTTTTTATCAATTAATGTCCTGCCAAATTTTGGGTTCATAAATTTGCCGTTTGTACGTGACGAAATTTTCTTGTTGATTTTGCGGTTCAAGAGGCGGCGTCTCCCTTGGCTGTCAATTGATTTTAATGGCTTTCTGCGGCTGTGACTGGCATTTAAACTAATTAAAAAGTGCTTCTTGATTTAAAATATTTACCGGGTGCACAAATTAGTTGGTAATTGGGTAAAAGTGTGAACACGCAAAGAGCAGTAATTTCAGAAAGAAAAACCCACACAACCGCAAACAGGACAATCATATACATATGACACGGACAGGCGAGGCGAAATATCCGAATGAACCGCAGCCACATTGTTGCAGGCCTCGCATGTGGCGTATATTGAATATTTCTTTTTTTTAGTCCGTGGTCGAAGGACGAGCGGCAGGGGAACAGATGTCAGTCAGTGGGACAGTGAGGCAAACTGACAGACAACAGACAGAGAGACCGCAATCATAAAAAAATCAGCAGCAGCCAAGCGACAAAATGCATTTGAACAAGTTTTTACGATCCCAAGCTCCAGAATTGCAATAAAATATTTTTGCAACAATTTAGATGCCACAGCTTCCCCTTCGGTGGCATTAGCTTTGGACATGCAGTTAGCCTGTCTTTATGGCCAGGCCACATTAAGCACCATTAATGGCCAACTCCCGCAAGCGGATGGTCAGTGATTTCCGTTTACATCGTACATTGTGTGTTGCCTCTGCAGAGCGGCGGTCGTAAAATGAAATGGCCGGGGTAAAACTGCATCTTGGCCAATTAGTTTTTACCTCAAGTAAGCCAAGGAAGTGCTGCCCCTTAAAATTAAAGTGATGGGAGACTTTCCGTTTTATTTGCCAATAAATAGGTCGAGGTCAGGTGGGTCTTTCTGCAAAGGTTAAGCTTATTTGAAAAAATAATGTTACAAAAACCAATAACAATAAAGTATTTCCAAAATGTAAGCTGCGCAAAACTTAAAGCCGCCATGGTGAGAGTTCCATTACAAAAGTATTTCTTCAGGCTCGTGTTATTGTTTATTTTCGTTCTCCTATTTAATATCGTTAAAATTCATTCAAGTGCGAAACTTGTCGATAAACTTTGCCGCACCGAAGAAGAGCAAAAGCGAAAAAATCGGATGGGATGGGAAAATTGTTAGGGAAAGCTGGGGAAAAAATATGGCGTCTTTGATTTTGACATTGTGCCACATCACGTAGTGCATATACATATATAAATATGTTTGGATGGCGGAACGCCTGAACAAGCGAATATAGCGCATAAATTTATGACACTCGAATTGGAGGGGGGCGTGGCATGTGGCATTTGTGCAGCTAAGCGTGGTAGCTTTTTGGGGGGAAAAAAAAAAAAAAAATCCGCATATATCGAACACTATTTATTTGGCAGTAGAGAGAGAACGAATTTGACACATTTTCCATGAGCTAAATATGTGATAAAGTTGACTTTGATTTCGCCACTCGACTGCAGTTAACCCAAATTGCTTCAATGTCAGCTTTTATGGCCGCACAAAGGACTCGGAATCCTGGAGGAACCCTCGCCAAAAGGATTCCCCGGCAGCTGTCCAAACACTGCACACACAATTCTCCATCAAATTCGCCGAATGTCAGTGGGAGCGAAAGTGTGTGTGTCAGAAAGCTCAAGAGCTCAATGGGATATCTTCTATTTGATTTCGGGCTAGTTTATGGGAGTGGTGCGGTCGGGTTCAAAAATGCAATAAAATTGGTGTTAGATAAATAGATAAAGTATCTCAAGGGTCGGGCTCCGCTTCGTAAGCCGATAAAGGCCATGGGATAAAAGCTTTCCAAATTGGGTTAACTCTTGACTTGGCCCTGACCGATTTTTTATTGTGAAATATTTCCCCCTATATATTATATTTCCGCTCATATCGCGCTTTAAATTCCACACATCCCGGCAATGTGCTTAATAAAAACTCATAAAATTTCATTTATCCGAGCCAGAACTCAAAGAAGTGCCTGGCATGCGGAAAAAAATCTGCGTCAAAATTATATATGAGGCAGGATGAAATTTTTATAACTTAAACATCAGCATTCAATATATATTGCATACACGGCGCACACTCGGCCTCATCTGCATATAGGTAAATTGATTTTTGACGCAATAAAATCAAGGAAGAAATTTCCGTGGGGATTTAATGAAAAAGTATGGGTTATTTATATATATATAAATATATACATCCATCATACACAAAACAATGCAATCAAGCGAATATTTAAGCGAGGTTAAGGACAACTCTTGCCCTGCAATTTAAATGACACTTATTAATTATTAAAGAATGCCACAATTAAAACTTAAGTTCGGATTTTTCAATTACTTCATTTGCATTCCCTTACAAATGGATGGCAATATTTTTAATGACATATCACGGGTAATTAGCATGACATGCTGAAAAAAAAGCCTTTTGCATTTTCAGAACACACAAAAATAAGGACACCAAGGAAATTTCATCTGGGAAATGCAAGGCCTTTGAGTAAAGCATAAATATTAATAAGTGCGCTGGAAATTATTTGCATTTACTGGAAGTCTAGCAGCCGGATTTAGCCAAGTTTTAATTAAAATGTCGTCACATAGAAATCTGGCTGCAGCCAAGTTGGCAATTAGCAATGTTTTGCAATAAATTTAATTCAAAATTGGTCCCAAACATTTGCTAATTTAAGCGCCCTGGTGGGAGAACAAGCAAAGGGTTAGGAACTTATCGCACATACGCCATGTGCGCCCAGTTGCAATGGAAGTTGTCAACCTGTAGCAGCGAATGTGCATAATTCTTGCACACAGATAATGCCCAGTCAAGGCAGCAAAATTATAAACCGAAACACAAACAGTGCAGGCACAAGAGAAAGTTGTCCTGCTGTCTTCGCAGGATGGCTAAGTAAATTGATAAACAGAAACAGATACATCGAAGTACTGGGAGAAAATTTGTAATTTATAAGAAAATTATAAAGCGATTTCCCCTTATTGATAACTTGTATTTTAATTCTACAAGTATATGTTGTTAATATTATATTTGAGTTGCTGTAAACCTTCTATTAGTTGTTTGCTAGAAAAATTTGCATATCCTAGAGTTTTGTTCTCTGCACTTCCCAAGTTTTTAATGGTCTGTTAAGCGGCACAAGTTTTGTCGCATCTGCTGCAATAGATTTGTGTACAGTTCTCAGGTTTTCGTTTGTAACGAATGTCCTTACATTTATTTAATTAAAACGCACTCGCTTTGTCGGCCGTTGTTATTGGTGCAATTATAAATGATATATGTAATTTACTGCCCGCCTGACATCACTCTGCTCACTGATATGTCTCATTGTCAGTGGCTTTGTTTTCCACTCCCCTCGCTTTAACTATTGTCCTATAATCGGAGTTTTCCTTGTTCCACATATTTGTGTGCTGACATATTAAATCAGCTGTGTATTTTGGCTCAACTCGGGCAGAACAAGAGACCTTTGTGGGGCAATTTGAAATTCATTTCGGTGAGTTCGAAGCAATTTCAACAGCCACAATTGGTGTGGTTTAGCATTACCAGCGTAATAATAGTTAATTATGCGACAAAATACTCGTACTCAGGACAGGAGACAAGAGGTTTAAATGGGCTGAAAATAAAATTTCGCTCGAATTCATTTGCAATCGCATTACCGCTTACTCAAGTCTGTGATCAAATGGAAAATCCATGAATATCAAATAAATTACATCATCGCACATGCAAATAAAAATCAAATGGAAAACCAAAATATCCCAGGCTGTTTAATATGCGAAACGCGTTTGAAACTCTCAGGCATAAAACGCAAAGAAAATAGGGAAAGGCCTTAAATAAAAGGCAAACAAAATGTTTGTCGCCTCAATAAGAGGCGTCGAATTGTTGCTCTGTCTGGCGAAAAAAGTTTTGCTCATTGTGTCTAGTACGTGATAATTGCGAAGTACCAACCATCTTTGAGTGTCAAATTGAAAACGAGAAATTTAACCGAGCGAAATGGTGATGTTTTCGCTCTTTTTTTCCCCATCGACAGTCACCAAATTCATACGCATCGGCATCGCCGATAAAAACGATAATCCGCCCTATTTCGACAAATCGCTGTACGAGGCCGAAGTGGACGAGAACGAGGACATCCAGCACACAGTGCTCACTGTAACGGCCAAGGATCACGACGAGTGTAAGTAGAGTGTCCCCGAGGCCAAAAAATATGCCCAGAAATTCCGCAATTATTATCTTACACACATTTTTCTCTCGCTCCTTTTTCCATCTTTTTCCTGAATTTTTTCTGTGCTTTTTCCCTCACAGCCTCACGTATCCGCTATGAAATTACAAGCGGCAACATTGGCGGCGCTTTTGCGGTTAAAAATATGACGGGTGCCATTTATGTTGCTGGCGCTTTAGATTACGAAACTCGACGCCGGGTAAGTAAAAAACCAAAGCCCTCCAAAAAAAAGAGAAATAACGAAACCGCGTACACGAAAAATGAAAAATGCAAAGTGGAAACCCGTAGAGGAGTCCTCTGTAATCGACAAACGTTCTTTCGCAGCGCAAATATATTTATGACATAAGCGTTGCGGGCTTAGTCAACTGAGAGATTTGTTTGTGTCATTGGAAAGCTGAAAATACATAAGGGACAACAGGGATTACAATTAAAATATTCAAAAAAAAAAAACATATACAAATTTTTTTAAAGCCACAAAAGTTATTGTTACCCTACTAAAGGGGACCAAAAGTAAAGCTTGAAAATAAAGCGTCATGGCCTCCTGGAAAGTATATTATAGAAAGCTTTATAAAATCCCTAGAAAAACACCCACAAATTTAATTTCACTGCCCAACCAAGCATTAAGGCCTTCTTCCTCTTGCCCAACTATAAAATTCATTAAGAAACTCGCTCTTCTTTTGAATTTCAATTTACACGCTTCGCACACCGCGAGGCTCCTTAAATATTTAAAAGTTCAAACAAGTTTTGTTACACGAGCTGTGGTCAAAAAGTCAAATACCAAAGGCAAGAAAACGAATGGCCAACCATTAATTGAATTGCAATTTGAACAATTGGCCAAAGTGCAGAGTCAGTCAGTCATTGAATTTTCGTGACTTTAATTGAAATGCGGCGAAAGAAACTTTGCCAGTTTGCGTTTGGCCTAATAAATTTGAATATGATTTTGGTTGAAGATATGAAATGTGGTAAATTATAGATTTTTATACCAGAAAAACAGAATATAAATGCTTAGGATGGACAGCGCTATCATAACAATTTTTTAAAATAATTAAGTTAATGTTTTCTCCCTGTGCGTTCAGTATGAACTTCGTTTGGCCGCCTCCGATAACTTAAAGGAGAACTACACTACTGTGATTATCCATGTCAAGGATGTGAATGATAATCCCCCCGTTTTCGAGCGACCCACTTATCGAACCCAGATTACCGAAGAGGATGATCGTAATTTACCCAAACGCGTTTTGCAGGTCAATTAATGAAACAAAATGAATCGAAATCTTAGTTCTCAACTTTTGTTATGTTTTTGGTAGAGTTTTCATTCCGCTAGAATTTATTGCATGTGTTGAGTTTTTTGTTTCCAAGTTTTGTCCTCCCCCAAAAACTGCCTGAAACACATTTTTGCACAACAAGTACAAACACATCGAATTTTAAAGTGAAATGTTTTAGAACTATTATTTTGTTAAGATATTTTCAGATGTTTTCGAAATTTATAATCTTATTTTTTATTGTTTAATTCCTTTATTCCGAAGAAGTTTAAGCTTTTCACCAGCTCTTAATTTACCCCAAATTGGTTTGATATTTACTGTGCGCGATATTAAGTTTTGTTTTTAAAAGACCTACTATAAAAAAACAAAACCATTTTTTTTTTAAATAAAAGAATACAGTATAAATATTTAAAGCCATTTGCATGTTGCTCCATTCCCCGCTTTTTCGTTTGATTAAAGGCTAGTGCAAAAAGTTACGAAAAGTAATTGAACAATTAAAAATGGCTGTTCATTCTAGAGTGGACAAATATTGTAAAATGCGGGCACAAAAAATAAAATTTATTTACAGAATACGCACAAATAAATCATTTAGTTGGGGTCAACAAAAAAAAAGTCTATGGAAAAATTATTGATTTATCATTAAGCAGGCACAGATAAAAAAAATGTATAAATACTATGAAGTATGTGAAGTATGTATGAAAGTATGTCGATTAAAATACATACTTTTAAATTACTATTCAGATAGTGACACATAATTGAATAAGTGAATTAAAATACTGCATTTTAATGAGCAAACAAGCGTGCATTTGAATATGAAAAACACAAATAAGCTGTCAAATGAATAGTGGAAAACATTTGCAAGATATTCAATGGATTCATCTTTAGAGTGTGTAAATTATCACGCTAGCTTTCATTTAATATTAATCAATAGTTTTATGTTCTTTTCGTAATTTATGTGCATTTAAAATTTATTGTTTAATTTCGTTGTTTTTTCCACTTTTTCGTTCTCTTCCCCACAAATTTTCCGTTGGCCATATATTTTATTTAATGTTTGCATAAAGTACGAACTGAAATTGGTTGCGTCGGACAGTTTGAATGAAAATCAAACAACAATCGTCATAAATGTGCGCGATGTCAACGATCTGCCACCGCGATTCCCGCAGACATCCTATGAGCGAACTCTCGACGAGGGAATGACCGACACGCCCTTTACAATCATGCAGGTCGCTATATTATTTACCATATCAGAGTCCTGTACATAAAACCATACTGAATACAAAATAGACCATAAGGCAAACAAACAAAGCAGCTCCACGTAACAATTAATTTAACCCAACAGCGGAGCCACACACAAAATCTCATTCAATCTCAGTTCCACTGTTAACTTTGTGTAAACCAGCAGCCATAACAATTCGCAAACATAATGAATAATCGTTTCGTACAAGGTGTAATGTTCGAATTTATTAAAAACCATTCAACGGTAATTGTGTAAATTGAAAAGGGAATTCCACTGGGCATTACGGTCCGCTATTAAAAGTCTATAACCCTTCGTTGTAATACAAGCACTGCAATTAGTGGGCAGTCTTTAACGAGAAATCAATTTTGAACTGAAAAAATGCCTGCAGCCTTTAATTGTCTGCGTAAATATTGTGCAAAAATTTGCGCAATTTATTTATCGTACATATTTTCCATTAGCCATTTTCTGTTTGCTTGCAAAAGCTGCTAATTAAATTCAATACGCTCTTTAAGTATTAATGCCACTCGTTTGCACGATTAAGCTTGACCCGCCCAGATTTTCTGTTGTGGTTTTACTTTGTTTCACTTGTGGCTAACTGGCGCCCAACTAATTTAATTAAAATAGACCTAGTTGGCGCTTAAGGCCAGCAAAGGGAATTAAAATCAATCAGTCAGCACATTAACTTTGTTTGTATTTACTTTTACTAACCATAAGCAAATAATATTTTATTTACCATTGATTTTGTATTTACTCACTTCTAAAAATAATATTCTTTCACTGACCAAACATAATTCCTGACAGCGTTTTTAAATAAATCATAATCCATAGAAAAAACACCAAAAAATTTGAAATTGTAATTAAAGTAAATAAATATTATTGAAAAAGTGTTATTGGTAATGTGAAAAAATATACTCCGCACTTACATTAAAACTAACCGAAGCATGAAATAGATTTGTTTTTGCATGGCATGTTTGTGTTATTTTTAACTACTTAATGAAGCACTTTTGCTCGTTTATTTTATTTGATTTTCTTTTTTCTGAATTTCCCGAGCATAAATAATAAATATCTGTTTTTATATGCCACTCTGGATGAACAGGTCACCGCCACAGATGGCGACAAGGATCGTCCCCAGAACATCGTGTACTTCCTCACGGGCCAGGGAATTGATCCGGATAATCCAGCCAATAGCAAATTCGATATTAACCGCACCACCGGCGAAATATTCGTTTTAAAGGTAAGTCATTGGAGAAAACAAAGCCGATACGCTTGGCTCGTAATTTAAGCATTAACAAATTGGCGATGGCCGGTGCGCAAAAATGCTCCCATACATAAATAAATACAAATAAAATGCGGTATTTAAAAATACATGCTGACCGAGGCCGCAGCTGGTCAGAAACTGAAAATGATGGCGAACTTTCGAAATATGCTTTCGCTGATTAAAAGCCATCAATGTGCACTTAAACCCGCCGCGAATCAATCGCAATCCCCACAAAATGCAAGCGTGCGAATCTGTCTACGTGCTCATTATTTAACATTTAAGTTGCAGTTGATGGACAAAAGGAGGGGTTCTCTTTGCAGCTTTTAAATTAAATGCTTAAATGGATTTGCTGAAGCAGAGAAAGTGACTGATGACCCTCCAGGTGTCTCTGATTTCAAAAGAAACATATCATTCGAAAAGAAAATTCACCAATAATTTAAAAACAAACGAATTGCAATGAAAGCGTTGGCTCTTTAAATTTCTCACTAAGAGCCCCCACAAAAGCTGCAATTGAAAAGTATATTAAAACTAATTACAAAATCACAATTGAAAATCCCTCGCCACATGCGAGTTTGAAAATTTCACTTAACTCTCTCGTAGTCCCAAAAACGCCAAAGCCAAATTAAATGAAATTCCCATGCGTCCTGCTGGAATAAAAATAAAACGAATAACATTCGTGCCGCACAATTCAGCCATTTTAGTCCATAGACTATCTCTCTACGTGAATATAATTTTCTGAAAGTGGCGGGGGGCTAACTTGATAAGGGATAACAAACAGCTGTACCGCATTTTAGTGGGTGGGAAGCACGGTCCGTGACCCACTCACAACTAATCCCTTAAATTGAATATGTCATAACAATGTTGGCAAATTTGTCATGCAAATTAAAGCGATGACTACGCAGGGGTTATGCGTACATATTTTTCTTTTATTATATGCTGTATAATGGGTATTTTTGGGTTATTTTAGTGAGGGATTATGTAGTAAAAAGTTAAGTTCTTACTACTCAATCTTAAAGTAGGCATCCTCAGTATTTTCCATTTAAATAGAACTAGTTTTAGAAATATTTAAATTTATTTATATATAGAGACTAGCTTTGCTAAAAAATAATAATTTTATATTTCGCTTAGATAATTTTTGACATTCGAAAATTAATATAATTGATGTATGCATTTAAGCTTACTAATAGCATTTGGGTTAGTGGACCATAGTCTTTTGGCTATAAACTCAACCGTACTTTTCCAGAGTAACCAAAGGTGTAATCCATCACCTTAAATATGTCCATGCATATTTTCTTTGTTGTTGTCGCCCCGTACACATTTTTTACGACATATCCAATGTCAGCGCCATGAAAAGCTCCTCTTGTTGTCGGTCTGCTGTGCCTGTCACATGTCGGCGAGGGTTCAGGGGTCCTTCGGGACGAGGGGTTGCGTTTTTGTTAACAAGGGTTTGGGGCATTATCCAAGGGTTGCCAGCAGCCAACAGATACAAAGTACTGATTAAAATCGCTTCGTTTTTTTCCCCTTGCGCTTTTTTATTATTTGCATATGTGTTTCTATATACCATGAGTGTGTGTGTGCGTGTGTGTGTGTGAAGGGTGGTTAAGACTAGGTAGAGTCAAAGGTGGAGCTCAGGTGGGAGCTACACATCACTCAGGCTGCCGTGAATGCATATCAAAGTCACAATCAACATCAGGGACAGGTACAGGTTTCACTTTTCTCCTCTTCGTTTTTTTTTTCTGGTTTCGCCGGCATTGTATAGGGGGATAATTTCACGGATTAAAGCTGTGCTGTGGGCGATGGAACGAGCCCTTAACCCACAACAATGTTATGTTCCCGCCAGCCGTTGTTAATCGGTTTTGCTTTTATGACAGCTAAAAAATTACACAATACCCTCGTGCATATTAACCCCGAACAGCGTTTAACACTTAAACTCACACTTTTATTTTTATGTGCTTGCAGCCATTGGATCGCGATCAACCGAACGGTCGACCCCAGTGGCGCTTCACTGTATTCGCGCAGGACGAAGGCGGCGAGGGACTCGTGGGCTACGCGGATGTTCAAGTCAATCTGAAGGACATCAACGATAATGCGCCCATTTTCCCACAGGGCGTGTACTTTGGCAATGTGACGGAGAACGGAACCGCCGGCATGGTTGTGATGACCATGACAGCCGTGGACTACGACGATCCCAATGAGGGTTCCAATGCCCGCCTGGTTTACTCCATCGAAAAGAACGTGATTGAGGAGGAAACTGGGTCGCCAATTTTCGAAATCGAACCCGATACGGGTGTGATTAAGACCGCAGTTTGCTGTCTGGATCGCGAGAGAACGCCGGATTACTCGATACAAGTCGTTGCGATGGATGGCGGGGGGTTAAAGGGGACGGGGACGGCCTCTATAAGGGTTAAAGATATCAACGATATGCCGCCGCAATTCACGAAAGACGAATGGTTTACGGAAGTGGACGAAACGGATGGCACGGCCCTGCCGGAAATGCCCATTTTAACCGTAACCGTTCACGATGAAGACGAAACGAACAAATTTCAGTACAAAGTTATCGATAACAGCGGCTATGGAGCCGATAAATTCACCATGGTGCGAAATAACGATGGCACTGGTTCCCTGAAAATTGTGCAACCCTTGGACTACGAGGATCAACTGCAGAGTAATGGCTTCCGCTTCCGGATTCAGGTGAACGACAAGGGCGAGGACAACGACAATGATAAGTACCACGTGGCCTACTCGTGGGTTGTGGTTAAACTGAGGGATATCAACGATAACAAACCGCACTTCGAGCGGGCCAACGTGGAGGTGTCCGTTTTTGAGGACACCAAAGTGGGCACGGAACTCGAGAAGTTCAAGGCAACCGATCCGGATCAGGGTGGCAAGAGTAAGGTCTCCTATTCCATCGACCGTTCTTCGGATCGTCAGCGACAGTTTGCCATCAACCAAAATGGCTCGGTAACCATTCAACGTACTTTGGATCGAGAAGTTGTTCCACGTCATCAGGTCAAAATCCTGGCCATCGACGACGGCTCTCCACCAAAAACAGCCACTGCCACACTCACAGTTATCGTTCAGGATATCAACGACAATGCTCCCAAGTTCCTTAAGGATTACAGACCAGTTTTGCCAGAGCATGTGCCACCACGTAAGGTGGTTGAAATCCTGGCCACCGATGATGACGATCGCTCGAAGAGCAATGGTCCTCCATTCCAGTTCCGTTTGGATCCCAGCGCCGATGATATTATCCGAGCTTCTTTCAAGGTGGAACAGGATCAGAGTGAGTAAAATTTGATTACTAATAAACTCATTTTATTTTACGATATTGTACCTATTTATATTCAGTTAAAACAAAAAGGAACGCTAGGAACAACTTTTAATTAAAAGCAGTAGTTCAACATTTTTAACCCATTTTAAAGTTTCAACACATTGAATATTATTTGGTTTATTAAAACTTGTATCTTTAGCTAACTTTATATTTCTGCCCCTCGATTAGGCAATCTGGCTGCCAAGCACCAGCCAATTACTTGTAAACTGCCGCACAAGCTCCACATGAAAAGGTTATAGGTAAAATATATACAAAAATAGTTTCAAGCTGACCAAACTTTGCCGTCTGCATTGAAAAAGTTACCAAATATTTGGGTCAAAGCTTAAACAATGCACTAGCGAAACATTTTCGCCTGGGTTTTTTTTTTTATTGTGTGTGCCCGTATTGAAATTTTTCTTTGTAAGTATTGAGAGAACCGGAAAAAGGGTTGTGGCCAGTGTCACAGAACGCTAACAATGGCATAAAAATGCAATTACCTCGCAGAGGATGCCCGAAAAGAATTGCCAGGAATCTTTGGCCGAAGAACGGAAACCGTAAACCACACCGCACATGAAAATTTAAATAATATAAGCAAGATAGCGAGCATAGAAGACTCACCCACCTGGGCGAAAAATAAAATGGCAAATGCACAAGTTTTCAATTAAATTACCCCCGGTCATGGCGAGTCTGCCCGCAAAATCCAAACTCCATATGTATGCATTGCAGCTCCCATGCAAAGCCAAGAATGGAAAAAGTAGAAAAAGTACCCGAGCAGTCACAATTTGTGTGGGGCGGCAATCCAATTTTGATGCCCCAGCTGGGAAATGGGAAAAGCTGCAAGTTGGGTTCTTTTGGGACTCCGCACAACTACGACTCTGTGACTTTATGCAAACGGTTTTTTGGGGGGGCGGGAGGCAAGGATGAGGAGGAGCAGGCTTTTCCAGACTCCTATTTGCATACAATTTGCCTAAAAACACACCATGGAGTGTCTTTAAAAATACATTTCTAGTGTGCGTTTTGGCTGAGCCCCTGGGGTTTTTCCCCTGTGGGGCAATGGTTTCCATTCCTCCGGTCCAGACTTAACACTTGTTGGCTCAAAGGCGTAATTACAACAAATGGGCTATTGCACAAGTTGCATCTGCAATCAGGTGGAAAACGTGCTGGCTAATAGAAGAGCTTACTTTCTGGGTTGGTTAGTTGTCAGGGCTTATGGCTAACTGGCAAATGCCTTTGAAGACTTGAATAGCAACTGGATTTGGGCAGGGCTTTCGGTAGTTTTTTGTCGAGAGTTCGTAGTTTATTCACCTGTAGGCAAATGTTTTTGTGTTCGTGTTTTTTGTTAATGAAGACTGAAAGATTTAAGTGCCCTTTCTTTATTTTAATTCTTCATTTAATGTGTTATTAAGCTGATTCCTTTTTGTTGGCATGACAGTTATGGCTTTCATTTATTTCGGATATTTTTATAACCTTTTTAATTTGTTCTTTATTTGCAGAGGGTGCCAATGGTGATGGCATGGCCGTCATTTCATCTCTGCGATCCTTCGACCGCGAACAGCAAAAGGAGTACATGATTCCTATTGTAATCAAGGATCATGGGTCGCCAGCGATGACGGGAACAAGCACTTTAACAGTGATCATTGGCGATGTGAATGACAACAAAATGCAGCCCGGCTCCAAGGACATCTTCGTTTACAACTACCAAGGACAATCGCCAGATACGCCAATCGGTCGAGTTTATGTCTACGATTTGGACGATTGGGATCTGCCCGACAAGAAGTTCTACTGGGAGGCCATGGAACATCCGCGATTCAAGTTGGACGAGGATTCTGGTATGGTAACAATGAGGGCCGGAACTCGCGAAGGAAGATATCATCTCAGGTTCAAGGTGTACGATCGGAAGCACACTCAGACCGATATCCCCGCCAATGTCACAGTTACAGTGAGAGAAATTCCTCACGAAGCAGTCATAAATTCGGGATCAGTTCGACTGTCTGGAATTTCCGATGAAGACTTCATTCGAGTGTGGAACTACAGGACCCAGAGCATGAGCCGCTCGAAAATGGATCGTTTCAGGGATAAACTGGCTGATTTACTGAATACCGAAAGGGAGAATGTGGATATATTCAGTGTTCAATTAAAGAGGAAGCATCCACCCCTAACTGATGTTAGGTTCTCCGCCCATGGCTCTCCGTACTACAAACCTGTAAGACTAAATGGAATTGTGCTGATGCACCGCGAGGAAATTGAAAAAGATGTGGGTATTAACATCACAATGGTGGGAATCGATGAGTGTTTCTACGAGAATCAAATGTGCGAGGGTAGCTGCACCAATTCCCTGGAAATTAGTCCTCTTCCTTATATGGTAAATGCCAATAAGACAGCTTTAGTTGGAGTTCGAGTGGACACCATTGCTGATTGCACTTGTGGAGCTCGTAACTTCACTAAACCGGAATCCTGCCGAACTACTCCGTGTCACAATGGTGGTCGTTGTGTGGACACCAGATTTGGTCCCCATTGCTCGTGTCCTGTGGGTTATGCAGGTCCTCGGTGTCAGCAAACCACTCGCAGTTTCCGAGGGAACGGATGGGCCTGGTATCCTCCCCTCGAAATGTGCGACGAATCGCATTTGAGTTTGGAGTTCATAACCCGGAAACCCGATGGTTTGATTATCTACAACGGACCTATTGTTCCGCCGGAAAGGGATGAAATGGTTATATCAGATTTCATTGCCTTGGAATTGGAGAGAGGTTATCCCAGACTCCTTATTGATTTCGGTTCGGGAACTTTGGAGTTGAGAGTGAAGACCAAGAAGACTTTGGATGATGGTGAATGGCACAGGATCGATCTGTTCTGGGATACCGAAAGCATTCGCATGGTTGTTGACTTTTGCAAGTCAGCTGAGATTGCCGAAATGGAGGATGGCACTCCGCCGGAGTTCGATGACATGTCCTGCCAGGCGAGAGGACAAATTCCGCCATTCAATGAGTATCTGAATGTGAATGCTCCTTTGCAAGTGGGTGGTTTGTACCGCGAACAATTTGATCAGAGCGTTTACTATTGGCACTATATGCCCACGGCCAAGGGATTCGATGGTTGCATCCGGAACTTGGTTCACAACTCAAAGCTTTATGATTTAGCTCATCCGGGACTATCGAGGAATAGTGTGGCGGGTTGTCCGCAAACCGAGGAGGTCTGTGCCCAAACGGAGACCACGGCTCGTTGCTGGGAACATGGAAACTGTGTTGGATCCTTGTCTGAGGCTCGATGCCATTGTCGACCGGGTTGGACAGGTCCTGCCTGCAATATCCCCACAATTCCCACCACCTTCAAGGCCCAAAGTTATGTGAAATATGCCCTGAGTTTCGAGCCAGATCGGTTTAGCACTCAAGTTCAGTTGAGATTCCGCACAAGAGAGGAGTACGGTGAACTTTTCCGTGTTAGCGATCAGCACAATCGGGAGTACGGAATTCTGGAGATCAAGGATGGTCATCTTCATTTCCGATACAATCTAAACTCCCTTCGCACCGAAGAAAGGGATCTCTGGCTGAATGCCATAGTGGTTAACGATGGCCAATGGCACGTGGTGAAGGTGAATCGGTATGGATCCGCTGCTACCCTGGAATTGGATGGCGGAGAAGGTCGTCGGTATAACGAGACCTTTGAGTTTGTGGGTCATCAGTGGTTGTTGGTGGACAAACAGGAGGGTGTCTATGCAGGCGGAAAAGCTGAATACACTGGCGTGAGAACTTTTGAGGTTTACGCTGATTACCAGAAGAGCTGTCTCGATGATATACGGTTAGTAATCCTATAGGGTTCTTAAACCAACAAATAATATTATAATAACTCTTAAAATGATAACACTTATTTATCTTTTTTATTTCTACCACTCTCCATCAACAGTCTTGAAGGCAAGCACCTTCCCCTTCCACCAGCGATGAATGGCACCCAATGGGGTCAGGCCACGATGGCCAGGAATCTCGAGAAGGGTTGTCCCTCAAACAAACCCTGCTCAAATGTGATCTGCCCCGATCCCTTCGAATGCGTGGATCTGTGGAATGTCTACGAGTGCACGTAAGTTCCTTAATCTCCTTTTCCCAAATCACTCCCCAAATCACTTCTTAAGGAAATCACCCATTGCTTTTCGTTTCTCATCAATCAAAAAGAAAAATTAAAACCATTTAAATAAATTGACTGTTCGGACTGTACTTTACAAACCAAAAAATAAAGGCTTAATCCCCAAAGTACTCGTAAGCCCATAAGGACGATAAGAACACCCCACAAAAAATCCACAAAACCGAAACCACATAAAAGGGAAAAAACCGAAAACAAATCTGCAGCTTTCGATAAACAAGCAGGGCTAACATTTGATAGGCTTAATCAATTAAAGGCAGGTACAGGCCAAAAAAAAAAAGGAAAAGAGAAACACAGAAGGCGGAGTGGAGTCCGGTGAAAGGCTTATTGGACGTGTCCGTCAAAGGACCTCGTGCCGGAGATTCAGCATAACACACCCATACTCGTCCACTCTTGGCACAAAAGTCAGTTGGTGATTGGCACTAAACGTTGCGTGACAAATCAATCGGCTTAGGCTTACGTTTCCGATTTCGCTTTGACTTCGGGTTAAAGTCGATTCGAGATTTGAGATTCGAATCGGGAGCAAAGAGCATTTGTCCGGCTTGTAATGGTCTTTGTACATATTCACGCTTTTGTTTCATTACACACACAGAGCAGCAGTAACCAGCTTAGCACAGGTGCTACTACCTCGCTTATTTTTGTTTAAGACACACACATCCATACTTACTTACACACTGCTGGCTTTAAGCTCCTCCATTCACTGTTGGTCGGTGGAAAATAAATGAGCCAAGTAGCTAAGAAAAAGGAGAAAATACTCTTTGGCTTACACATGACAAAATCACTTTACACCCCACAAGCTTGAAAAAAAAAAAAAAAAACAGATCAAGTAAAGAAAACTGATATCATTGGTCTACAGAACTTCTTTTATGATTCTCTGACTTAACTCGGACCTCTCTTAAATATTTTATATAATCAGTCACACAATTGGAACATCCATTCGATATTTGCATTTTCGGTTGCCCAGTTTTTGTTGTCATACTTAACCCAACAACTCAACTTATCAATATTAATTTAATGGTAATTAAAATATGAAATATGAAATAGTTGCGGCGAAGGACGCATTATGTCGCCCGATTCCAAGGGCTGTATGGATCGCAACGAGTGCCTCGATATGCCCTGCATGAACGGGGCCACTTGCATTAACCTCGAGCCCCGACTTCGATATCGTTGCATTTGCCCCGATGGTTTTTGGGGCGAGAATTGCGAATTGGTGCAGGAGGGTCAGACCTTAAAGCTCAGCATGGGCGCCCTGGCGGCGATTTTAGTCTGCCTTCTGATCATACTGAGTGAGCATCCCACCAAAGAGTCCCCCTCATGACGACAATATTTTCAAAATATGCAACAACAACTTGTAGTTTTAATTAAGCAATTAGTGCTTTAGCGAATGCTTAGCGTTTCAGTGTCTGTGTTGTTACGTTATTCCAACTTAATTAGCTGCTCACAATCATCGAATCAATTTCATGCAAATTCCATTTCATTTCCCATCAGTTCGACTCTCTCAAAGGCTCTCATGCACTTTGGTTTTATTTTATCATCTCGCTCTATCATTTATAAATCCAATCATTCGGCATCAAATTCACGGCTCACCGAATTTATATTTTTGGCATATGCCTAGTGACATTTAACCCATTCAAAAAAGGCATTTCCATATTCATCAAGCTATGATTTCATCTCCATACCATTTTGACTGTTTGTTTTTGGCACATTTTCCGTTCAGCCTTCCACTCGATGTATAGTTATTTTCGATATACTTGTGTGTGTGTGTGTAAATATTTTATTAAAACTAAACAAAGGTATGTACTCATATGTAGTGGAATATTTAACGAATACCCGTATGTGTCTTAACTTCTTTTCGCGTACTTAATTCGGACTCAGAACCCGTGATATTCACTATCCACTTAGTTTTTGTGCTTTCCTTTACCAACTTTCCGCCCTCAACACACATTTCAAAATGCACTCAGCCGAGACAAAGAACAAGACCTGAAATGCCCTTCAGGTAAGTTAACAAATGTGCAGTCAGAGATACAAGTTGGCCGTGAGAAGACAAGGGCAAGCCACCCAAAACCAAGGAAGAGCAATTGCAGTTGTTAGCTTTGGCATTTCGAGAAATCACGATGCACTGAGACCGCCCACCTCATATAAAAAACATATAAAAAACTGGAAAAATACAGAGGAGCATGAGGACAGGAAGATCAGACAGCTCAAAGAAGCAGGTTGGAAAAGTGGCACTAAGAAGCTGCCAGTCTCATTTCGGGCAATGCCTCGCGAGGATTTACTACGTTTGCATTTATTTTTCTCTCAATTCCTTACGTTAAACGCCGGGAGTGTGTGTAAAGAGCCAGAAAAATGCCAGTTTCAGGCTTAGAGTTCAGCTCCATTTATATGCCACCTTTGCTTAACGTTTAAAGGTAAATAAGTTTCCTGGAGCGTTCAGAAATTGCTTCGTGCCCAAGTCAACCTCAACTAAAACGCAATGACGTAAAGTATGGCAAACTTTATAGACGGGAAATTTCGTAAAAATTATCAAGTATCTCTCTCACTTCTGATGAGTTTAAACTACGCACTTGGGAGCTATCGAAGGCAAACGAAAAGCCGCCAAAAGTGGGAAAAAAACTATCCCCTATTCAACTTTTCGACTGGCGCTGATTTAGTGTGAAAGTTTCTGGCTGCTTCTGAGGTATTTACTCTATCCTTATCCTTTTCCAGTTATTTGCTCCTTTTTTTCCTGCTTCCCTGCTGTGCAGTATTCAATGGTCAAGCCATGGTGTTTGCCAATAATCGTCAATATATCAATAGTGTCCGGGTCTGCATTTGAAAAGTATTCAACTGTATTTGCCAAAAAAGTCACTCCAAAGCCATGAATTTTGTAAAGCAGTGAAAAAAAGAAACCAGCTGAAGTGTTAGCAAATTTTAACTCCTTTTTTTTGTATTGGCTGAACATAAAAGAGTTTCATTGAGCAATTTATAGCAATTTTAAGAGCAAAAAAACTCGCTTACTTAACTCTTTATGACAATTTTAAGTAAATAAATCAAATCCATATCAACCGTGGTGTGAATTAATTTACAATTGTATAAATCCTGTTTGTCTTTAGCTCAGAAAATTCATCTGGACAGGCATTTAGTTTATTTTTTGAGGAAAACCACATGCATCTCAATTACTTAAGTCATGACTGGCAAAAATCTCCCCTGGCCATTTCACACCTCAATTGGCCAAGCCAACTGACATTTCAAAGTTTTTATCCCTCTGCTCCTTGAAAACGAATGTGAGTGCGTTGGCCAAAACTAATCAAAACAAACTTAAGGACAAACGCAAAAAATAGTAACGAAATGTGAGACAAAATAAAATGAAATTTTACTTATCCCAAGAATGCAACTTGAGAAGAAACTTTATTCAATTCCAAGGAAGAAAACAAAAACTGTTACATAATAATCATAAAGGCAAAAAAAACGTAGAAACAGCACTTAAGATGCGTGTTAGGAAGGGAAAGTCGATGAAGGGCGAATGGAATGTTTGCACAATGCAAATGCAAAAAGTTTGCCACACGACCGAAAATGAAACTAAAAACTTACAAAGCGTAAAATAATAACTACAACAAAAAAATATGAAAAAATGCTAAAGTTGCAACGAACGTTTAAAAAGACTTTTTGACAGTTTTTAACACTCCAAGAGGATGAGAACGAGTGAGAGCAAAGGAAAATATTCCATTCTCATAACTATTCAAACGAATAAAGAGAAGCAACGAACACTGAGAGAAATGCGCTTTTTGATTTTATAAATAAAAATTCTACAATTTGTTAGTCAATATTAAATCATAACAATGGTGAAATGATAAACAATAAATTAAAAAGGCATTGCTATATTTGTTTGGAGACAATTTTTCTAGATTCAAAAACGTTGTTTTCTCAGTGTAACAATATGCAGAAACTTTATCCAAAAACCCACCCACACATCCACCCCTGCATGAAGAAACAAATTTTAAATAATTTTTTTTTTTTTTCAACACCCCACACCCGACACACACACACTTCACCCACACATCCCACATCCACTCGAACAACCGAACCAACCACGCGTATACGTAACTTTTCGGGGCTCGTCCTGCAGCTGTCCGGCGGGCTACAAGAGCTCCGGCAGCACTTGTGTTAACGACAACGAGTGCCTACTATTCCCGTGCCGCAACGGGGGTCGCTGTCGCGATCATCACCCGCCCAAGAAGTACGAGTGCCACTGCCCCATGGGCTTCACCGGCATGCACTGCGAACTGGAGTTATTGGCCTCCGGCGTATTGACGCCATCCCGTGATTTTATTGTCGCCCTGGCGCTCTGCCTCGGCACTCTGATACGTAAGTACACCGCAGACCCTGTAAGGAGATGTGGCATCAACGGTCATCTGACGTAAGCCGTAACTTTAAGGTTTGACCAGCAAAGATACTCACAACATCGGTTCAGTGAGTCTTACTTGATGGCATGCATTTTAAAATAAGTCTAAGGATTTTCAGATGCTTTTCAGTTTTCATTTTTGCCATTTGATTTTAACTTTTTAAATATCTTAAACATTTCATAGAAGCATTTAAACTTAATTTATTTTTAAAATTTAATGTACAATATCATACCCTGCAGTCTCAACGGCATTCCATTTAAATTCTTTGATTTCTCCTTGAATTTCTTATGCCAATTAAATGTTTCATCAAAAGTATATATGTTTTTAAATATTAATGCCATAGCGCGTAAGCCATAAAATTAATTAAGTATTACAATCAGCCATCTGCAATGGCCGGAAACGATGAATCCCGGCAAGCAAACATGTCAAAAGTCATTTCCGCAAATTACATGACACAACAAAAGTCCTTCCATAAATTAAAGTCAATTGAATGGTCAGCGAAAAATTTTTGCATATCAATCGGACGAAGCCGCGAAATGTTCGAGGACAAATTAAACCTTGTTCGTAAATAAGATATTTGGCATTGCAAACGCGTATTCGACCAACACAATAATTGCAATTATATGCCGACCAGCTGGCGTGAGGCAAGAATGGGAAAAAGGAAAACTTTTGGCAGACGAAGAAGCCACAGCAAATTACTTAACGTCAACTTCAAGTTTCGCTGGCAATTTCCACGACTCGGAATGCCCAAAAACTTTTTGTTTTCCTTGGGTTTTCCCGTGCAACAGATGCTGTCTGCGTTTCGCAATATGCTAGAAAACTCGCTGGAAAAATTAGAAAAGCTACACAGAGACAGTGGATTCGTGTCGTCGTCTGCAGCTTGAATTCCTATTTTCAGTTGACCAGAAAACTGGAACAATGTTTGCCAAATTTGTTTAGGTTTCTTTTCATTTTCATTTTTGCCATTTTTTTGTCCGCCCCAGTTTTTTTTTGCTATCCCTTTTGGGTTGAACAATTTAATTAAGCATTTTTTTCAAAATGATAGCGTTCAGATATTTTCATTTTCCCTTTTCCGCCGTAAAAGAGAAGTACAACTGATATTGTTCTGCATGGTAAATTAACCGTAGTAAAATGCACTTTGTAAATTTAAGGAGTTGTTGTTGTTGCATACTGATTGAGGGTAACGTTTGTGGCGAAATTGCATTTTAATATCGTTGAATTTTAACTATTCACAGTACTCGTCCTGGTCTTCGTCGTATACAATCGTCGCCGTGAGGCGCATATCAAATATCCGGGTCCCGATGACGATGTACGCGAGAATATCATTAACTACGATGATGAGGGAGGCGGCGAGGATGATATGACTGCCTTTGATATCACCCCGCTCCAGATACCAATTGGTGGGCCAATGCCACCTGAGCTGGCGCCCATGAAAATGCCAATTATGTGTAAGTATTCCTAGGAATTTTCTTTTCGAACGAATTAATTGGGGTTGAAGATAAAAGGCAATCAAATTAAGGGAACTGAAGTAAGCAGCAGCAGTAACAGCAACGTGCCAATTTAATTAACCTAAATTTTAATGTTCAAAACATTAAAGCTCACTGTGTAAAAATAATTTGAGAAAAATTGAAGTAGCCAAACTCAAAAATAGTTCAAACTTTTTGCATTAAAAACTAGGAGAGTTAGTTTAAAAAAATTGTGAAATATTTTTCCAACTCATTTTTAATAAAAACTTTTTTATTAATTTTTATTTCAGACCCCGTTATGACCTTAATGCCAGGTCAGGAACCCAATGTTGGCATGTTCATCGAGGAGCATAAAAAGCGCGCCGATGGTGATCCAAATGCGCCACCTTTCGACGACTTGAGGAACTACGCGTACGAGGGTGGCGGCAGCACAGCTGGATCGCTCAGCTCGTTGGCTTCAGGTAGGCCCATAAATACAATATTTTAGGACTAGTTATTGCACCCAATATGCAGCCGTTTAGTCACGAAGCCAGTAGCCTGCGGTGCCCCAAAAAGTAGGCTACAATTTAATAGAAAAGCACTCGTAGCGTGCTATTGCAAACTAGAGCACTCCGATTTGTTTTTGACTCATCGTTTTTTCTGACATTTCCAGGCCAACGTGTCTCAGATACAGCTGAATATTGGGTGTAAATTTAGGAGAAAATGTGTAACCATAAATGGTATATCTATCTTCTATTTCACTCTTAAATACACAGCTACAAAATATTACGAAAATGACGCTTAAAATATTTTTAAAAGAATGATGTTAAGTTTTACAAGCTATATAAGAAAATTGAGCTGACAAGACCAATAAGACATTTTCCTGTATTTTCAAATTAATATTAAATTGTTCAAATTTAATATGGATTTCCTTGTGTGTTTCATTATTAAATTGCAGGTACTGATGACGAGCAGCAGGAGTACGACTACCTCGGAGCTTGGGGGCCACGCTTCGATAAGCTGGCCAACATGTATGGACCCGAGGCGCCCAATCCCCACAATACCGAACTAGAATTGTAAGCTGGGAGGCCGAGGAAAGCCGAGGCATCGAGTGGGGAGAAGGGAAGAGACCGAATCCAAGTCCGAAGCGGATACCTAGATGAACAAACTAAAACTGTTAGTAGATACAAAGTTGCATTTAAAACGAAATGAAAACCCCACTCACGAGGGAAACTCACACACAAAGAAAGCGCAACCAAAGAAGCATCTCAATGCTGAAGTTGGCAAAACTCTCTACGTAAATGGAAACTAAAAACTAGAAAACTAGATGGGAATGGGAACTGGATATGGAAATGAAGAAAAAATCAAACACATATTAAAACACGTAAAATGACATTTGTAAAAATATTTCATCAGCATTTAAATTTAAACGATTACCATAATGAAATTAAGTTATAAGGGCAACCCGAACCGAACATTACGGTTGCACTTTTTCCAGCATTTTTTGCGGGGCAAGTTAAGAACGAATTAAAAATCGAGGAAGTGAGAATTGTAAGTTGTAGGAGAGAGCATACCAAAGTTTAGTTTAGGAGCGCTTATGAATTTATAAATTTAATTCTCGAACAGATTTGTTGTGCATATTATTTTAAGTTGTAATTATTATTTTAGACATTTTCTGTTTATAAGTTTGTGACGTATGTGAGAGTCATTTAGCGTCAGAATGAAAATTCTCAACGCCTTTTATTTAAAAATACCTTAAGTTAAACATTTATAATTTCGCATTACTTTTTAAGGATTACAATTAAACATAATTAAAAACTTATATAAAGGAATACCCAAAGACTGTTTTCGTTCCATCATAACAAGTATATACACACATTAAAAACACGAAACATATATATATTAACATATAAACATTACGAAATTTTTAACTGCAAATCGAGAGGCATTTCGCATGTTGCCGCATTGTGTATCATTCAATTTAAAGTAAACCACAATCGGCGAACCCGTGGCAAGTTGCCAGGAAGAAAATACTCCTAAAAATATATTCTAAATGCAGAAAACCTATGCTAAAATCTCTACATAAAGCGAATCTAGCCGAAGAAATGCTGGCAACGTAAAATAAAGAAAAAAAGAAAAAATTACCTTTAGATGAACTTAGCGCAATTGATATAATTAAAATGAGTATCTAAAAAAGTAATTATATATATATTAATGATGAAAAAATAAAAAAGTATTTTACATTGTATATATTATTAGTTTTAGCACGTATACAAAGAAACACACAGACACAACCACAATATTAAACCAATCGAAATTGGTATCAAGGCATAAAATCGTATAGAGTCATTTCAACAAAAGTGGTTGAATGCATTCAAATAAAAAATTCTCCATATACATAAACCCAAAACCAACAGCATTTAAAAACAAACTATTTCCACTCAACAAAGCAAACGATTTTGCAGTTTCATTTATATTTTCTCGTTTGTTCGCTGAAACTTTTATCTACAGATCGATAAAAGTCGCAAGTTTTTATTATATTCATTTGTTGTTGCATAGAGACACACATAATAAAATTGATTTTGTAAGTTGAATTCACGTTTTCGTTTTCATTTCGACTGTCAGCCAGAAAAACAAAATCAGAAACACAGTTAATCGGTTACAGATTGTAGAGAACCGTAAGTACATAATATAATAAAAATATATATATAAAGCCTAAATCATAGAGTTTTCCAGGCAGCATATGGCCACAAACATGATCCTATTGAAAATTCTGTATTAGTTCCCTAAATTCACAAATTCTCCCTTTAGGCAGGTATTAAACACAGATACAACCACGCAGAATTTTTGGTGTTCGAATTATTCCTACTACCACAAGAGAAAAGTTACAGAAAACTACTTAAGAAACACTTACCGTATACATATAACAAATGGAAATGGAGAAAAATCTAACAAAACTGCAACAAAAGTTGACTATTGAAAAGTGCAAAGATTTTAACGTAATTGTTAAACCATACAGCGAAATAAATAATAATAAACTTCTCTGCTGTACTTGTTTGAGAAAATTCATAGAAATTTTAAAGCACATTAATTGTTAAATCGAACCTTAACTCGAAGTAGCCATTTACGAATAACCGAAGCCATTTTGAAATGATTTGCCTGCGTAGCTACAGTGCGATACGGTACAGCAAGTCCGGATATCCAGAGACACACAGAACACTGCCAATATTATGGTTTAGTTTCGCAAAGACTCGAAAGGTTAATTCAACGAACTGTTCATGTTTGGCTTTCGCTTTTCTTCCGCGCATTGCACAGAGGATTCTGCATTTTTCATTTGGACTTTTTTTTTGACGCATCTGACTATGAATAAATTTTGCATTTATATATGTATAGGTCGAACAGCCAACGGAAACGAAAGAAATCCAAAAAATCACAAACCACACACTGAACAATGCAAACATTTTAAATTGAAGACATTCAGATAAACAGCAAACAAAAAGAACCGACGACGGGATGTTTTATATTTATAACAGCAGAATAACACACAGAATAAAAACCAATTAGTAGAATGGCAAGTGAATTATATACTCATTTACAAATATTTGTTATATATTTTGTAATGTAAGTTAGAAGCATATACTATCTATTGAATAATGCACAGACACATACATATATAATGCGAAATACATTTACACCAGAGGAACACACACACACACACCGACAGACTGACAGAAAGACAGACACTTACATGCGATCCAAGAATCATACTATTTGATAACTATGTATTTATAATGTATGCATTTTTTACCAACCCAAAAACGAGCGCAAACAAAATCCGAAACTCCCCTATTAAACAAAAATCCCATTAAGTCTAATAAAATGAGAACACACACTCATTCTAACAGAAAGGAAATTGCGAAACCATAAACAAAAACCGATTTGAATGCATTTTAGATAAATTTGCATATAAGTACATTATTATGTAAAATCACTTTAACATACCTACAGTAAACAGAAAAGGAAACGGAAACTAGTATTAAAAATTAAATTATGATAAATTACGAGTAATAATAATAAAACAAAGAGAAGCAAACTGCTAAAGAAAAACTTACAAATCAATTGTGTCAGTATCGAAATTGATAAAAACGCTAATTAAGTAAGCAAGAGAGGAATGGCGTGAAAAACTTTTAAGCTAATCACGCGCCACTTAAGGAAAATGGGGAAATACTTAGTTAAGGAAACCTATACACGAACATACACACAAACACATTGACATATACACACATTCACTCATAGACAACAACAACTGCAATTATATTAAAGGAAAAATTATTATAAAAGCGACAAAAACACACAAAAAGAAAAGTGGAAAGCAAACAAAAAGAAGGAATAAAAAAATAAATAAAGAATCTGTAACGTTATATGGAAAACAAAAATGAATAAACTGTTTTTCTTTTAAGGGTGGGGAGTTTTCCGTTTATTTTATAAAGTTACTATCAAACAGCAACAAAAAGTTTTCTTATTATTTATTTAAAGGGTCCATCACTTATTTCATTTTTGTAGCAAAGTGATCTTGGAATTATTTAATACAGAAAGTTTTTAATGCTTTTTATTTTAGTCTTGACTTGGACTTTAGTCGTTGAAAATGTGTTCCACTTTCTTGGATTTGACTAAAACCTTTAGTATCCACAGGGCGAATGTAAATGTTTGTACCGCCAGACAGTAATCCCTTGTTATCTTAGCATTACAATGGCCATTCCACTTCCACTACCAGGTGGCTCCGAAGCACATTGCTATTTGTTTATTTGTATATTACATATTGCATTGCAACAAATGAAACCAATATTTTGCCAATGTCAATGCTGAGCAGGAGTGCTCGAGGCCGAGGGCAGACAGTCACAGGAGCATATTATATCCTTATTTGGTTCGGGTGTGTGGCCTTTGTCTGCTGTCACACTATCGCTATCTGCAAATATAACCAGCAGTAACTATAAACACACAAAACACACAGAACAGTGAAACACTTTTGCCCCGAGAAAAGAATGTACAAACACAAACACATTCGCTCACCGATTTTGCAAAGAAACGCGCGACGTCTGTGAATGGATTTTGCTTTTGGCCCCGACTACAAAACTTTTCTTTTTTTTTTCTACTAGTCAAAGAAGTGAATGAAATCTTCACTTTGCCACAAAGGCAAATATATACAATCGAAAAGGGGCAGGGAGAGGGGACAACACTTTATCTTTGCATTTTCCAGCAAAGCATCAAATTTCCAATATTATTGCTCCCTGTTGAACATTTGTCTTGCCCTTTTCGCCGGCTCTTGGCACGTTCCAACAATTGTTTAAGGCGCCAAAACAAATTGCGCATACGCCAAGTGGTGCGGGCGAAAGGAGAAATGTATATGTATATGCAAACATTCACTTCGAGCACAATTTATAAGCCACAATTTGTGCGGACTATTTTTAGCTAAACAATTTGTTTAGCCGTCTCTTCGCAGCTGTCGATTTATTGGCCAACCCTTTCCCTCGGTATTTTCCCTCACCCTTTTTCCTTTTTCCCGGTTTGGCTACACAGTTTCGTTCGACTGATTTCATTGTCAAGCTTTCGGTTTTGTTTGCTTTTGCCCTGGCATTCGCTGGTATTTATGGCTTTTGTTTTTGGGCTTCGAAATTTATGAATTTCGCACTGACAAGAGCCGCTCGTTTATCTCATCTAATAAGTTTGGCTTGTTGCTCCTCGTCCCTCACACTATCAAACTTTCCATTTCGTTTCGGATTTTTCCTCGCTTTTGCGTGAGCTCGTGGCTTTTGCTTATTTGCAGTAAAAATTCTAGTTATGGCCTTTGTGGGGGACACTTTGAAAAATGACAAAAACTTTTCAGAAGAAACCAACACTTTTGGAAAAAAAGTGAAGAACGGCATTTAAATTTCTCGTTGATAATTTCAATTTTTAAAACATTTATCAATATAAATCTTGCATACAGCCACAACATATAGAAATATTCAACTTATTTATTAAAGCCCCCGGAAATCAATCAAATAAATTAAACTTTTCATTGCATATTTAGCCTTCATTTTTTCTGTGCATTTTTTATTTATTTTGAGCCGGGCAAGCAGTTTGTTTAGCTGCCTAAATGTTTCGATATAAGTTTCCGTTTTTCAGTTTTGCGCTTCCATCCGTGTGTGGGTTTTCTTTTATAGCCAGTTTTTGAGGCAACAGTGGCTACCAATATGTCCGGCATTTTTAGTTAAGTGGCGCAGTTTATGAAATTGCTACGGTCTGTGTATAGGCAACTTTGAATAGAATTTAACAACCGATCGATTGACGGGCGCTTTAAGTGAAAAGTGAAAAATTGCGGAATCACGTGAAACGCATTTGCGGATTTTCGGCCACTGATTTCATCTTATTCAATTGGTAATGATACTTATCGTCTTTGCACTTCAAAGGGGAATAGCAAATTCAAGGCATTTTCAAATGCGATTTTGCGCCCGAAAGCATGCAGTAAATATGCGCAATAGATAAGCACATGTCATTCACATGTGTTCGACCCGAGAGCCCAGATTCCGGCTTTGTTTTCTGCAGCCCACCCACATATTTCAATATTTTGCCAACATGTCACAGAGATGACATTCATTTCCTACAGTCAACACGCACAATTTGTCGCTCCCAAATGAAACGAAATGAAACGACACGAAACGCTCGAAGACAACAAAGCCAAATGGCGGAAAGAACAGCCAGCCAACGTGCGAGTACAAATCCCCTGACACACCGGAAAATCTTGAATATGAACCCAGAAAAATGAAAATAACAAGGGGGAAATGGGATGAGCGTAACATGTTTTAGCCCAAAAGCGAAAATCAACACATGCAAATGGGGAAAGTGAAAGCAAGAGCTGACAGCTCCAGGCCAGATGACTGCGAATAGATTTCAAAAAATGTTTTACAATACGAGTATAGGGAGTCCACAGCGGGAAATATTACCAAGTGGCCTTGATAAAACAGAAGCACGTTTGTTTACTGAATTTGGTTCTTTTATTTATTTCTTATAAAAATAGCACTCCGTTCTATAACACTGTGCGACAAAATTTAACGAAATGTTTGTTTGAGTTACTTTTTTGATTGTTTTCGGTTAAGGGGCATAAGTTATGCACAAAAATATTTATGCCACCTTCTAAGTGATAGGATTTCTTTTTTATGATAAATTTTATGAAATTATTATTATGAAAATATTTAACACAAAATATTATTTTTTTTTACTTCCAATAAACTATTATTTTTTTTAAAAGTGAAATTTTTCTGATTTTTTTGGCTTTTTCAGAGGTATCCTCGCGTAACAAGTTCCATACAAAGTCGCCCAGAGTATAGAGCTGGGAGAAAAAAATTTTAAAGCATTGTTATAAAAGCCTAACGGTATATTTGCTTAATACATTTTAATTAATAGATATTGAACTTGCATTAACGCTTATAACGGTGAAAAAATATTTTCCCAATATGTGATTATAAGGCTGTGAAATATGCAAAAACACGCGTTTTTGGGACCTTTGAGTGTGCGTAGAAGCTGATTGGCTATTGATATTAACAAATCCAAAAACTTGTATTCTTATTTTGACTAGTAGAAGTGAAAAATAAGAAAAAATCAACTCAAACATTTTTTTGTCGCACAGTGTAATTAACTTTGTTGGTGGATATTGGCAGACAACAAAAACACCAAAAATATCTGAACTTCCTATTCATTTAATTTTTATTATTTAAGGGAAAATTTTATGGCTTTTTGGTGATAAGCTTAACTTTTTTTCACGTGTAGGTATAACCCAAAAAAAATGTGTAGAAAAGAAATATGTTTAACTAGACCCACCCGTGCACATCACGGAAATACTTGAAATACACAAAAAAGTGAACCTCCGGCGAGCTCGAGCAATTTAAATCCTAATCGGGCTCAATTTGATTGTGCCCACCCTTCGTCGTTCTACGGACCTTGCGGTTGGTCGTTAAGGCCAACTTGTCAGTCAATCAAAGGTCAAAAGGGTTGCGTTAGCTAGGAAAAAAAAAAACGAAAGAAAAAAAGGACAAAGGACAACGGTCGCCGGTTGACAAGCATTAAATAAATAGCAAGGATCACTTTAGAAACATATTAAATTTTGTGGCTACAAATTACTTAATGAATGTGGGAATGCCAGCGGATTCCGTCGAGGCACGAATGGGGTTATATCCTTTCGGCCATATGCAAATACTTTGGCTCGCTGGCAGCCTCGAGCTCTTGAGTGGGGCGCCAAAAATGTTGATTGCTAGCTCTTGCCCCCCGAGGCATTTGCATAAACTGTCGTCGAGCACGTCTGTCGAGCTCCATCCGCTCCATCCATTTGAAACGATCCAAACGAGGCAAGCTTAAGCTTGTTTTAATTGCATTAGGGAACCGGACAAATAGGAGGCACAAAAACCGAAGGCTCCAGTCGAGATTTCTTCATCTCGAACAGAGCATGTCGGACGGTTAACCGCCATTTCTGAAATTAATTGGCATCTTTGGCTCCTGGACTTTTTGGGTCACACATCCCACACACATCCACTCACTGAAATTAATGTCGGCTTTGGTCTCCGGATCTACATTAAATGTGCCTGGGTGTCGGTGACTAGAGTGGTTATCGGATTTGGTGTTTTGGCCAGGGGATTAGTTCATTAGTATATATTAAGTGATGGCTCAATAACGACTAAGCCTCTACAGCTGCATTGCAGTTGGCAATAGCTAATCTAAGGCTAAGTGAAGGTGCACTACGAAAATTGAAATTTGGGTGGGAGATTTGGTCTCCTTTGTGCATGCATTATGTGCAATTATGGCACTAAATCTTCAAAGTATCCTTGGAAGCTATAAAAGTAGTTTTATTTTTGCAAAC